CACTTTTGTTTTGACTTAGACAATGTTAAACTTGAATGGTTTTGCTGAGTCACCCTGCCCTCAACCTAAAGGAGAGAGGCTCCACAGACTAGTCAACCGTGCTTCCCTTAACCCTGATAATTCCCACTCTCACAGCCAACCTGGACCAACCACTCTGCAGACAGACGGAGCATATTAACAGTGCGGAGGAGCTCAAGTGCAAAACCCCTGCTCACTGCCAATAACAGGCTAGTATGGAGGCTGAAGGGGCTATCTCTGTAAAGTACAAGTAGGAAAACAGGGAAATATCAAATTGTTGTTACATGCATTATGATTGCACTTTGATTTGCAATTTATGTTTCAATAATAGTCAAAGTTCAAATTTAAACCTGTACAGAAGAACTGACAAAAAAGCTCAGACAAAAATAAAATAAAAATAAACTGACAAACCAATACAAGTATTACAATTTTGAAGATGTTTGTACAGATCTGAACTACAGTGTTAGGAGTTTTTATGGAGAATAAGACTGGATATTTTGTTGTTTATGGAGGAAATTATGGTTGTCTTTGTGGTTTGCTAATTGCATCCTTTCAAATTGCAATTCTGATTTGATTGTGACCAATTTTGCAGTAAATTAATAGAATAAGATGAATGGATAGGAATAATCCAGTTTACTTTGAGAATATACATATTAGACCTGGGTAATTTAACACATCTGTCAGAGGGAATCCCAGAAGATGCAATTACCAAGCATAGCATATGTATGAGAATGAGCTACATTTAGCCTTAAATGACAAATCTCCCAAAGGACATAAACAAAAACACAGTGTTTTGCTAGCACTGTAAGAATGGCAGTGTTGCTTGTATGTTGAACAAGCTTTGAAATAGTCAATTAAAATACAATAAACTTTTTTTTTTTATCTGGAGAGGGATTTTTGAAATAATGTGAAAAATTTGCCAAGCAAGTGTGACAGCCTAATTGAGCCCAAACACTAAAGTGGCTTCTCAGCTTCAAGACATGGTAATAAAATCTTTTCTTGTGCAAAAAGAAAAAAAGATGTCTTTGCACTACAGCTAAATATGACAAAATTAACTATATATATTCACCTTTTATATGCAACGAACGAATGCATGATTTCAAAATGCATTGTAATTCAAAATATATAATATTTAGTTTTAAATTTCTCTGGCATTGGTCCTATTTTTTCCTGAAACCCATGGATAATCCTAAACTTGCACAGCAAGATGAATTCTCGCGATATTTGTGCATTCACAAATTCATGAGAATCCATCTTGGAATGTACCCGCTGTACAGTTAATTGGGTGGGTGACCAGTCACAGAGCAGCACTGAGGTTGGTGCGGAAGCCAAAGGCCAAGCACCCATACAAACCAAAACAAACATGGCAGCAGCTGTACTTCAGCCTATTTTAGCATCAATATGAACTATTTTGTTTGTGAAAAAAATGCAGAAGGTGAGAGCTTTTGCATTTGTGGACAGCAAAGATGCTTTTCTCTCAACTGAATGTGACAAAAGTTAGATTTTTCGGCCTGTTCTGCTGTTGTGACGCTTCATCAGATTAAAATAGTCGTCATGATACTTCACTGTTTCCCAATCTGTTTCAGCGAGAGCCAGTCCAGATTGATAATGTGTAGAACTCAATTCAGAGTGACACACAGATTAATCTGGTGTTAGCAAGGTTAGGATAGTCCAGTGTTTTTGGCCAAATTTGTAATCTAAACACCAAATATCTGCAATTAATTGTGAAATGTGAAGTGTTTGATCACTACGCGTTGTCATCTATAAACAAGAAGCTGTAACATATGAACAAAAGAAATGCTACCATGCCCATTTAAAAGAGTTTTAATTTAGTTCGTTACCGAGAAAATTCTTATAATTTCTACATATATATTGTCATAAATAATTGCAGCCTTTCCAATTTGATAAATGTGTCAACAGCAATTTAAATTCTGTTGAAATCCTTATCATGTCTCTAAAAATGTTTACACAAAATTGTCCTTCCTGTATTCTCTTAAAATATCCACGCATGTAAAGACTGCAGAATTGGACATTGCTGTATATTGACAGTAGTTTAAGGTTTAAGGGCACTCGATAGACTAAACTGAGTGCTTATATCATGGTGCAGTGCCAGTCTGGGGCGGTGTGGTACAGCAGGTACAAGGAAGCCGCAGTTTAACTTGGACAAAGACCTTTTTGTGTGGCACAGATCAGGTTGGAGACGGAACACCAGGGTTTACTGCACAAGGTGAGCAATTACAGTGAGATGGGTCTACAGGTCACCAGGAGAATGTAGACTGTACCCCTGTAACAACTATGGTAATCTATACAGTAGAATTTGGATATGAATATTCATTTCTTTTCAAAACCATAATTGTCTTTTAGTACTGATTTCATGAACATAAGCAATACAGTCTGAACTCCTCTCCAAATTGCATGCTTTTAATGGTTGGCTGTAGACCTCACAATTGAAAAGACCCATAATAATTGATGATTAGACATGACTGAATCTCAAGCTCAATCAAATTTGAATAATAGGGCATAGGGTGTAGCAAAATAGTTTAAAAATTAGACAGACACTTTTGGTCTATTTTTCTTTTGTTAAATATTCAAATCAAATAAATAAATAAAAAACAAAAACGAGACCATCACACTGAAATGTTGACAGTGATCAGTGAATCTATGGCAGCAGAGTAGGTTTTTGATGTCATAGCTTTGACAAATTGACAGCGCCATGGCAAAATTGTGATGCCTTTTTGACAGGCATAAATTTAAGTTTCTGTATTGGCAGATGGACAAGTATAAAGAGACATATAATGGCTCAAATTAGCTCAGCAATAATCCAATCCCTCAGTGGGGTGTTTGTGTAGCTGTCTGGACCCTGGGCCAGACCACGCTTCAACATATTCAAACAGCCCAAAAACACATTACTAACACAGCTTTCCATTCACAATTCACTAGACCTTAGCTGAATTACAGTGACACAACTTTAGCTGGTTAAAGTTTGTCTGGAGTAAACTATTGCTCCAACAACAGCAGTCTATGTCATGATTAACTAGATCTGTCTTGGTGGAAAATGTCTGGCCTTGTTAATAATCCGCTCATAAGCTGCAAATCTGGAGGCTGCATCCCTTGGACACAGTCGTGCCATATGATCCCAATACTCTTAATGCTCTTATCTTATGAAAGAAAATAAAGTAGGTGACTTTATCCAGCAGCCAAGAAACTTAAGACAACATACATTTCTGGCAGTATTTGGCAAGCTATTTTTACTTGTCTTTTATTGGTGCTGGTTTACCAAGAGAAGCACACACCACAGTGGTATAAAGTAACCAAGCAAAAAGGCAAGACAAATTGCTTACTGGAAGTAAAAAGTAAACCAGAAAATATAGGAAAATTAAAATATACTTTTTTGGACAAAACACAAACTTCGTTTCACTCCAGACAATATCAAAACAATAGGTAATAGTCATTAAACAATCTAGTGCATGGTAAAAACAATATACTTCAGCGTAATATGAAGTAGAAGTAAAATGTATGTTGTGGTAAAAGTATTTTAGAGGTATACATTTAACCCACCTTTCACTACATCACGGTATATTAGACTAAGAAAGCAGGTGTCTCTAATTCTTGCTGCTCAAGAGTGCCCTCACATTTGATCTGAGGCCAGTCCGTGAGAGGTCGCCAAGAGGATGAAGAGATAAGCTCTGGAGGAATTCAAAGCCTAGTAGCTCCATGGATGACCACCCCAACTCAGCCCCTCGCCACCCCCTCACCAACCTCTCACCAGCCCCTCACATTTGCAAAACTAACAAAATGAATTCACTAATCATGGTTTTGATCACTGATAGGATGATAGGGGAGCTTGGTGTAAATCATATACAAAAGCTGCATTAAAATAAAGGTCTTTATATTTTTTTTATTTTTAAATAAAATAAATTTGTTTTTGCTTTGATACATATTTAAAAGGTATTTTAATAGTTGTTTAGATGTAGTGATCTGTGGATTAAGGTCAAGGGTCAGTTGTACAGTAGCTGTAGGTGTAAACATCCAACAGCAGGGGAAGCGCTGCATTATGTCCAATGTACAAATATGACTAGAAGCACTTGGCATATTTCTTTAGTGCCGCTCTTCTGTGCCAGGGAGGTCTGTGTACAGCCACATTCAAAGCTATGTCAATGTGTTTCTTTTCTTTGGAGTAAATAAGTCATCTTATATGTCTAAGGTGATCCACTTTACTGACTAATGGGACAGAAAAAATACCTTTTGTAAGAACAAAACTGGGCTGCAACTATGTAACCAAATTTATAGCTGCTTTTAATTTGCAGACAAATCATAACACAGAAAAACTTCCATCATAGCAATGCTGTTCCCAACAGCAATGATTTCATTTTGAATGTCTTAATTAGAAACTCATCATAAGTCTGAATGTTGTAATACACCACAATAAACTCAACATTGAAGTCAATAGTGGGGAAATCAAAAAGACGCATCAAATCATGCTGAGTGTGCATTGTACCCAGGGGCTATAATGATCCTGTGCAGTGGGGGTGAAGTTACAACAGAAGAGGAAACTGTTCAGACTCTGTGAATTAGCAGCTCAGGTTAAAAATTAGCAAGAAGGCTTTAATGAAAGTCAAACAACATCACACTTAGAAGGAAAGTGGCCTCCAGCCAGAGGCAGAGAGGGGATCTGAATGAGAGGACAGACCATATATGTAATAACGCAACAGCCCACGGTTCACACAGACATTACAGCCTACTCACTAGTCCATATGTGGCAGCCTATCATTTTTATAGGGTAATTCAGCATATTATTACATAGCATAATCATTAGACTAGCCTACTCTGACAGTATGCCTGTACGTAACCCCAAGAGGTAAGCAATTTATTCAGACTGCAGCTGCAGTAGGCTAGGTAAATCTTTGCGAGCATAAATCTCATATCATTGCAGCACATCGAGCCCTAAACTAGTGCATGTAGAGCTGATGTAGTCATCTTACCTAAGTCACGATGGACGCTGGTGCCGTTCCCGGGACGTCTCTGGAGATGGTCATATCTGGGGCTTGGAGCTGGCGTGATGTTCACATCCGCGATGATTCACTCTCACATAACTCTCAACATGACGAGTATCATTTACTTATGCGTCTTGCGCAGGCTAGCAACAATTCAATTAGCTCTCCGAGAGTATAGTGTGCCGCGCAGTCAGCTCTGATGTAGACGCGCACACTTGGCACTGTCTGTCCAGGTCCTCCGGAGATGTGAGCGGTCACCGCGTCATGATGCGGCGGAAGATTGACCTGTCCTCACTGTTGCTTGTCCGCTCCGAGTGAGAGGAGAGGCTGTATGCGGAGAAGCTCTGCTCTGACACGAGAGGACCAACAGCGCTGCCTGCTGTACTTAAAGAGACACGGCACAAACCTAGCGGAGGCGCAACCACTGTCTCAAAGGAGACACGTGACACAATGATGAGTTAAAGGCATCTTGTGAAGTCAACATGTTTTTTTGTTTGTTTTTTTCAACTCACATGCAATAGCTACAATAGCACTAATAGGCTATTTAACAATAAGACAGAAGAGCATTCAATTTTGCTGCTGCACATTTTTTAGATCCCACAGACAACACAAAACAAAGAAGTTCATTCATCGCCTCCAGACAAATATTTTACTACAATCAGAACTTTCCCATCAGGCCTTGAGTCAGAACAAGCCAGATGTGTTTGTGACAAAATAAATATCTGAAGTCATGTTTTTTGTGTTCTCTGTTAATGTTTAGCCTATGAAGTACAATTTTCCCCTAAATGTTCACTTAGCAAACTTAGACGTACCTGAGACAAGTATAACGGTAGACCCAGACCTGACTATTTCCACTTCACTTTCTCTCCATAACACGCACCAGTTCTTATTACAAGCTCAAGTCCTTCTCCTTCTACTCTATCATCGAGAGCTCATGTACTCATGCCGGAATGACGCTGCAGGTTTTAGCATTATACATTCATGAAACAGTTGGTTGTCTGCACCATCACCAAGAGCGTTGTCACCCAAAATTGCTCCCCTCTGATGATTCAGCCAAGCATTCCAGGTTTGAGGAGCAGTCCACAGATTACTGCTGTTACCATCAGGGAGACAAACAACTGTGTTTACTCTTCAGCAGGGTGAGAAACAGACATCTGAATTTCTAGTCTTTTCCAGACATTTATTTGTGAATAATGGCACACCAAGAGTGCATTGTGTGTTGGTGTGTGGGTTAATTATACACATTCAAAATGATAAGCTTTTTGAAATCATGATCACTTGAGTGTGAGCACCAGCAGGTTACATATTCAGTTTCGTACATCAGATTTAAAGGCCTGTATTACATCAGATTAACTCTTGTGACTTTAAAATGTTGTTGCTTCCTTGAAAACAAACATGGAGTTGTGTTTCACTTCATTTACATACCATTCATAGTATAATATGGGCCTTTTAACCCACCAGTTGATGACCTTTGGATATTCTGGACAAAAATGTAGAGCTGAAGCAAAGACATACAGTGACAAGACCTTATAATCACATTTGCTTAGAAACAAGAGAGATAACCACTGTGCCACTGTGCAACTCACCTGATGTTTTTGTTCCATCAAGTTGTGAGAAGAGGAATGCTAGTAGATGTTGTATGTTAATAGATATGAGGATATCGTTGCAAATTTTTCATATTTAGTATTTTCCTTTGGCCAAGTAGCCTGACACAGCCATGTGCGAGCTGTAAACCAATAATTACTGTAACTCTATAGCAGGCTGCATGCCTCGTGCTGTCTACATCCGTTGGTGGATATAGGACTTCATCCCACATGTAACAGAGAAGAGTAGGGTGAAGCTTCTCTCATCAGAAACAACACAAGAACACCTCTAATGTTACTGTAAACATATGCAGCTATTTGTTTTCCTTGTCCCCCACAATATCTGTGAATGAAATGAAGGATGGGTCAGAGAGCATGTCTTTATATAATGCATATTAGTCAGTAGGCAAACAGTGCATTACAATTGTGATTCTATTTTGATTTATGTTTTAATAATATCGTTCTGTTCAAAGTTCAGATTTTAAGCATGTTCAGAAGCATTACCATTTCAATGAAGATTGAAATATGAACTGCCCAACTAGTCCCAGGCTCCCATGTATTTCAGGAAGAGTTTGTATAGTGGTCTAAACTGCAAAGTCAGCAGGTTTAGATATTTAGTTGTATGCAGAGGAAATCATAACACTAATTGCAACCATTTAATCTCGCAGCCTAATCTGTTGCTATGACACTGCAAAAGCTACAACAAAACACATAGATGTTAATTTCTATGGCGATGAAGTCGTGCCACCTTCTAACCTAAATCAGTCGATAATCACGTGTCATGTTTATTGATCTGCTCAGTGATTTATTACACACCCTCCAGCCAAATACCCATGAGACCAATCAGAGCACTCACATTCATTGAGTGATGGCACTCTTTCATTTGGTCACATATCAACATCACTTGTACAGTACAGTTACACTAACAACATGTGGGAAAAGTTTGCATTGATTTTACATAATGAAATAACACAATCAATAAAGCACTGACCTTTAAAAATAAACTATTGCTTCCTTGTCCTTTGAGTTGAATTCTGCCTATGATTACAACTGTGAGAGCATGAAGGACTTTTTGTCATTAGTGATTCCAAATTAGAACTGGTAGCAATGATCTTGCTTATTGTATTCTAATTGAAACTCATGAAAAATAGAATTTCTACAATTACTTTCCCCTTCATAATGAAATACTTAAGTTGCCAAGTGAAAGTCTTATGTAACTCATTTCAAAACTGGCTCTGAAGCTATAGGTGCATGCACCAGACTGACTTCCTGCCCATGAAAGCAATGTTGAAGTTTCAGATATTAAACAATATTTTTTCTCTCCCTCTTTTGCTTGTTGATGCATGTGCTGGGGATGACGTTTTAGACAGACAGTGATGTTGTTGGAAATCACTGCAGCACTGCCACTTTATAAAAAGACAGTTTGGTACTAGTAGGCTATATGGTGTTGAAAAGTCTTAAAATATGTTAGATTCCCAAGAAACATGAGAGAGTATTCATGGCCTGAAGCAATCATTATTATGGTGCCTCATGTAGTCACATTCATTATTCATTATGGATGGTTGAAAAACAGCATTGCATAATCTTACAGGCCACTCTAAATTAATAAACTGTATGCATTAATTATGTTGTGTTTAGTTAAAGAGGCACATTTTTCTTTCTTTTCATCAGTAACTATCTTGTAGTCAGTTATCTTCTTGTTCAGATGTCACAGTCACCTTTTAACGTGAAATGGGGTTTAATATGTGGTACTTACAAATCAAGACAGGAAATGAAGTGACACATTTGGGCACAATGTAAGGACAAATTCTATTAGTATCTTAGTTGGTTATGGGTGCAAGATGAAGAAATGAAGAGATTTCATTAAACCATGTCAGATCTGGTTTTATGTTATGTCTGTATTTAAAAATAATGTAGCTATATTGCTAAAAGTGGCTAAATATGTGTTTCTGAAACAAGTTGAGATGATTTCTTATAGTTACTTTAAATGCTTTTTCTTGTTGCCTTTGGGGTACAATAAACTAAAAATAAAAAAAAAAAAGATCCCATGACAAGGTTAAAACATCTGCTATTCACATTGTTCGAGCTCCCATGTACAGAAATCTAATTTGTCTCTTCTGATCCTCGATTCATGGTTATTATGAAAGAAGTTTTTCCTGTGTTCACTATTGCATAAAATGTGATAATTGGTGCTTGTTGGAGAAATGGTGGCTGCAAAGGTGCGAGAGCCACAGTCCCCATAATTATATTGCACACACCCACACTGATCTCAGGTCTCTAATCACAGTCATTCACTTGGGCTAATTATTAATTTTATTTTATGTTTTTTACTCTGACTAGATATTTCACCAATATGATCATGTGGTAGGTAATGAAAAAACACAGGTGTGGTGGTTGAGGTTGTGCTTCATTCTAAAAAAAGAAAAAAGAAATAAATAAATGCCATACCATTCCAATAGGAAAGCATATAACCTTGACAAATAGGAAAATGTACTAGTATATGATTAAATGACTGGGTGGCATCTTCAGTGATTCTCTGACGTGGTCAATAATTCTCAAGTGATCGAGAAGTTTGGCCACCAATAAAATGCAATGTTGTTTTGTTTTATGTATGTTATAACTATCTTTGAATAAGAGAATGTTCTATAACTCAAACTGAGGATATGTATTTCGAGAGTGCACTGGAGAAGCGCCCACTTCTGTTCTCAATGTCATTCACCACCCAAACTATTTCACATGATCTCATACAGAAAGGCTCTTGTTTTGCTGAGCTGTTCACCCACAAGTACAAATACACAAAGATTGATACTGCCCAGTATGAGCTTTTATTTAGCAGGTATTGGATGCTGTCATGCTGACTATAACATGCTGTTAAACTTTTCAGTGAAGGTTCAAAGATCATTTTGCTGTTTAAAATTCACATCATCATAGTAGCTGTATTTGTATGATTGTTTTGAGAAAGGGAGAAAGTCTGGACCAGACTAGCACATGTCACCCCAGGTGGGCCCAAGTGTGTGTGTGTGTGTGTGTGTGTGTATATGCTACTACTACAGTAACCCGAGTCAGAGGATGTGGGAGAAATGTTTATTACGATACCCACAGTCCAAGCTAATGGCCAAACAACTAGTAGCTCAGTCCAACATCCACAAACGGCAACTGCTATCACAACTAGAGATTGACGAGGTACAACACAAATGCTACGTCAAGGGGGAGCCAGGACGCCAGGTCAGAATGGAGTTAACACCAACTCCCTAACCAGAGATTGGGTACGTAGCGACTGACCTGAAAGATAAGATCATGGCTCGAATGAACACAAGGCAACCCCGATGCCAGTTACAGAGGTTAAGTGAAGTACCATCTGAAAGTCTCCTAGAAGATGTGAATGCAGCACTGAGAGTGATCCCTACCACAACCATCACTGAAACCAATGAGCTGATATACACTTCAGCAGCAGTGATCCTAGAGGTGATGGGCTATAAGAGCAACCATGGGAGCCATGAGATATGATACCCACCATGGAAAAGACGGTTAGAGGCTAAAATCAAAGAGGCGCGGAGAGAAGTGAGCCAACTGTCAGAGGCCCAGAAAGGTGCAATGAAAAAGCAAATACGCAAGAGGTACAACCAGATGCCCATACCTGAAGCACTCGAAACTGCCAAACAAAGGCTCCAAGCCTTGGCCAGCCGCCTAAAGAGGTACACACAAGATAATGAAGCCAGACGAATAAACCGGCTGTTCGCAACACAACCGGTGAAAGTGTACGCTCAGTGGCAGGGTAATAACACCAGAGCAGACCCACCAAGGCTGGAGACTGAAAGGTACTGGAAAGGCATATGGGAGAGGGAGACATCGCATAACACCGATGCTCAGTGGCTGGTGGATATGAAAGAAGACCACAGCAACCTCCCTGAACAGGATCCAGTCAGAATCACAGTGGCAGAGATCCAGGAAAGAGTCTCAGGTATGAAAAACTGGACCGCACCAGGCCCTGACATGATCCACGCATCAGTGCTCTCCACGAGCACCTGGCAGCACAAATGAACCAGCTGCTAAGGGATGGGACTCACCCTGAATGGCTAACCCAAGGGCGTACGATCCTGATCCTGAAGGATCCCTTAAAGGGTGCAGTCCCATCCAATTATCAGCTAATAACCTGTCTCTCCACAACATGAAAGCTCATGTCAGGCATCATTGCGGCTAAGATAAGTGGGCACATGGATCAATACATGAGCGCAGCACACAAGGGCATCGGCAAAAACACCAGGGAAGCCAAGCACTAACTCTTGGTTGACTGAACAGTCGCCCACGACTGCAGAACCCGTTAGACCACCCTGTGCACTGCCTAGATTGATTACAAGAAAGCCTACGACTCAATGCCACACACATGGATCACTGAGTGCTTGGAGCTGTACAATATCAACAGGACTCTAAGAGCCTTCATTGCGAACTCGATGCGGTTGTGGAAAACCACCCTTGAAGCCACTTGCATAAGTGTCCATCAAATGTGGCATATACCAAGGAAACTCACTGTCCCCACTGCTGTTCTGCATAGGCCTGAACCCTCTCAGCCAAATAATCGACCGCACTGGCTACGGATACCGACTCAGAAATGGGGCCACCATCATTCACCTCCTCTACATGGATGACATCAAGCTATACACTAAGAACAAGCGAGACATCGACTCACTTATTCATACCACCAGGATCTACAGCACAGACATTGGAATGTCATTTGGGCTTGAGAAATATAGCAGGATGGTGACAAAGAGAGGGAAGGTAGTCCACACAGAGGGGGTCTCACTCCCAGAGGGAATAATAGCAGACGTTGAGGACAGTTACAAGTACCTTGGTATCCCACAAGCAAATGGCAACCTCGAAGAGGCAACAAGGAAAGCGGCAACGGCCAAATACCTGCAAAGAGTGAGACAAGTCCTAAGAAGCCAGCTCAATGGCAAGAACAAGGCACAGGCAATCAACAGCTATGCCCTGCCATTAATCAGATACCCAGCGGGAATCATAAGCTGGCCAAAGGAGGAGATATAGACACGAAAGCTCCTGACCATGCATGGAGGGTTCCATCCCAAATCCAGCACCCTGAGACTGTACGCAGGCCGGAAGGAAGGGGGCCGAGGACTAGTGAGTGTGGGAACCACTGTCCAGGATGAAACATCCAAGCTCCTTGTGTACATCAAGGACAAGGCCCCAACAGATGAGGTGCTCAGAGAATGTCTCAGACAGTGGGGTCCAGAGGAAGAGGTGCTGGAGGGACCATCATGGCAGGACAAGTCCCAACATGGGGCGTACCACCGAAACATAACTGAAGTGGCTGATATCAAGAAATGCTACCAATGGCTTGAGAGGGCTGGTCTGAAGGACAGCACAGAGGCACTGATCCTGGCTGCTCAGGAGCAGGCCCTGGGCACTCGAGCAATAGAGGCCCAGATCTACCACATCAGACAAGACCCACGGTGTAGACTGTGCAAAGAGGCTCCTGAGACAATCCAGCACATAACTGCAGGGTGTAAGATACTGGCAGGGAAAGCAAACATGGAGCGACATAACCAAGTGGTGGGCATAGTGTACAGAAACATCTGTGCACAGTACGGGCTGGAGACCCCAGGATCAAGGTGGGAAACACCTCCAAAGGTTGTGGAGAATGACCGAGCCAAGATCCTGTGGGACTTCCAGATACAGACGAACAGGATGGTGATGGCGAACCAACCAGACATAGTGGTGGTGGATAAGAAACAGAGCAGAGCCGTGGTGGTGGACATCGCACATCCAAGCTATGGTAATATCAGGCAAATGGAACACGGGGAACTAGAGAAATACCAGGAGCTCAAGGAGGAGCTGGAGAGAGCCTGGAAAGTGAAAGCATCAGTGGTGCCTGTGGTGAACGGAGCACTTGGGGCCGTAACCAAACTGGAAGAGTAGCTACAACAGATACCGGGAAAACAACGGACATCTCAGTCCAAAAAAGTGCAGTACTGGGAGCAGCAAAGATACTGTGCAGAACTCTTAGGCTCCCAGGCCTCTGGTAGAGAACCCGAGCTGAATGAGAGTGAGAGACCAACCACTATGGAAGGTGAGAAACACACACACACACTCACACACGCACAGACACACGCACGCACACACACACACACACACATATAGCTTGATAGTGGACAGAAGAAAAAAGTATATATAACAAATTAAAGGTAAAATATGCAGGTATGTCTTCCCTTGTTTATGCACGATAAAAAACATAATTTTACAGCAAACAACTCAATTAAACAGAATAGAATCAAATGTGCTCTGACCTCAAGCAGGATTAAAAGAGAGCACACTAGAGCACACTGTCCATAGATTTCATCCACATAGTTTTCAATATTGTAGTCAGTATAGATTAGTTTTAAGGGCGGCCCTGATATCTTCTCTCCCACTCTCCCGATGTCAACAGAGCCATGCAATCATATCTGTTTCCCCTTACTCCGCACACAAACACATCGACTCAAACTACAACAGATGTTTACTTTTTCCCTAAATACCCACGTTAACAAGAAGAAAAACAATATAAAGGAAAGGTACTGTAAAATGCATTATACAATTAGACTGTCTGGTTTGATTTGTTGTAGGTCTAACTGAAAAGATTAAAGAGCTTGTGAGCTGGCATTTCCACATATAATTGGACTGCTTTCGTTTCTGCGCTATAGCCTAAATATTTGTTTGTGTGTGTTTTTCTATATCTATAACATAAAAAGACATCAACAGTGTCATAATGTTAAACATACAAGAAGTGACTAAAAAGGAGTAGACGGAATGGTAATCATGTGTCACTGTTTCTGGAGCTGCCCTGTATATTACTATTGATCAAATCACTCGGCTCATGATAATTATGTGCCAATAGTGCGTGGGCCATGAAGAAGGCAGGGAGAGGTTATTGATCCTCATACACAGACAGCGATCCCTCTTGTTAAAATGGGAGGGTTTTAAATTCTTGCATTTAGATTCCATGATGTTGCCTCAAGATGCTTAAATGTTTGTTTTGTGTGTGTGAATAATAACGTTGGCAGCAGGATCACTGTAATGCGGAATATGTATTTATTTATTTATTTATTTGTGATCAATTATTTAATTACTTGGAATTTGCATATTATGTAAAATATATACATAGTCCCAAAATAAATTTTCTTTTACTCAAGTAAAATAATTTAGTTACCAGTCGTCACAGGATGCTTAAGAAATTGTGTAACAGTGCTGCCTCCCAGTGGCCATATGATATTCAAGACCGTGAACAGTGTTATAACATCTAGCAAGGTTGATTTCCCCTAAAACGCCACACAAAAATTATCGCATTTAATAAAACTCCCCCCAATAAATATAAGGAGTAAAGTTGCTGTAAGATATGAACTGAGCATTAAGCATTGGTTGAGCCTTGACAATTCCACTGTTGTTAACAGTTAATGTTACATGTTAACAGTTAATGTTATACAGTAAAAAAGCCAGACAAAGCCCAGACAGAATGCCTATAAAGTCTTTAATAGGTCTATATATTTTTATTTTTAATCAAATATATATATTTAGTGTACAAAGTTCAAACTGCTCTTGATTCTGTAAAAAATGTTGATTTCACAATAAATGTGAAGTTTACAGCTTTCCAATAATTCAATAAAGTTTCACATTGGGAGCTTGATAGGGTTGACAAAATGGAAACAAAAAATAATTTTAAGGGGTTAAATTAACCTTGATATGACATCGTGTAAACCAGTGTAAACAGTATTTTATAACGATAGATCCAATATTCCTACATATGTACCTCAAATCATATCTAACAGAGGAAAAAAAAACTAATGACCTTCATTAAATACAAAGAATATGTCCAAACTATTTATATATATATATATATATATATATATATATATATATATATATATATATATATATATATATATATATATATATATATATATATATATATATATATATACACACGCACACACATATATATATGTGTGTGTGTACATACACACATATTAGGTCAAGACTAGTGTGAGGTAAGGTTTAAACATTTACTGTTTGCAGTGTGGGAACAAACGGGACAAAAGTGAATAATCCACAGGACAGCAAAAAATATTCCACATAGTTTTGCTCTACTAGCTCTGCTTATTCCACTTACAGTATTTCCTATTTCAATTTTTCAAAAAACTGGAAAAAAACTAAGTTGATGTCAATTTTGGTTTAGATAGCAGTATCAAAGGCACCATAGTGAACAAATTCAACCAGGCTAAACACTGTGGCCATAGCCCACTAACACGGTTTAAAATGTGTATCAGACATCAGAGAACTGTTACAGTTTACACAAAAACATTCAAATACATAAAATATAAAAATACATGGGTATATATTTTAACTCAATAAGTCATTTAGTAAATGTAAAAGACAATTTCTCTACCAGTCTAAATGTTTTGTTTTTTTTTTGAAATAAGTAGGAATGTAGTCACAAATTATACGACATCAAGGAGAATAAACGCTTACATGTTATATCATACACTGTAGAACTAAACAGATTTTCTTCAGTGGTTGAAGTTTTGTAGAAATTAATTCAGCATAGCCACCTATTGGGTTTGGTTACCTAGAGGGTTGTCCACATCCAGATCTACTGTAGGTTTTATAGCTGCTTTGAATCGCTATTGGGAGAGAAAACGAAATAGATAATAAATAAGAACAAATAGCCACTTCTAATCATACAGATAAAATGGTGACCTACCTATATTTATGATATAATACGGTTAAACCTGTTCAGTGGTTTTATATGTACACTGTGTGTATTCTTACCATTGGCTTTTTTTTTACATTTTACTTAAGCTATTAATATGGTATTAATATCAATCTCAACGTAAGGCACAATGTCTATCTCCTTCTTTCGTACATTTATTTTTTCTTTTGAATGTGAAATATCCCCAAAATGCTCACTTTAACAGGAAGATAAAACCCAAGTCAAGCATTTCAAAACATTTTGCCATCTAAGAAATTTATTATGGTACTTACTTCATACAGGGATCCCTTGTTGATGTACATCTCATGAATAGCCCCCAGTGGTATCCATATGATAGACACCAGAGAGATTGCCCAGCCCACACCGTCAGCCCAGTTTGGATATTTGTATTTTCCATAACGCACTGGAGTGTAATGGATAATACTGGACACCAAAATACACTGAGGAAGGACAAACATATGGTATAATACATCCAGTAATAAATCACATTAATATCTCTGGTATTCTGTCAGTTATCTTACCAGGACCAAAACAGGACAGAAAACAAGCCAACACAGACGGAAGTAGATGTTTGGAGGCCTCCCAAGCATTCTTCTGACCATGAGAGAGATACGCGGGACTCCTAATATTATGCCAAAGATAAAACATATATATATTGTATTTAATTAATCTGTTAAACTTGAATTAAATGTTTTACCAAAAATCCAGCAGACAGCCACAACTTCAAAAAATGCCAGAAACACGAGTGAAACCACAGCAGTGTAGTGGTCCATTAGCTGAAATACATATATACCTCCCTGCAAAAGAGAAAATTACAAAAAATACTTACAGGAGATATGAAATATATGAAGCAAAATATGGAATTATTTAGTGAAGAAAAAGTGAAATAACTATAAAATATAAAAATATTTTTCAACAAAGCAAAGGGTGGTTATATATATATATATATATATATATATATATATATATATATATATATATATATATATATATATTTTTTATAATTTAGGTTAGTTAGGTTATTCAGGTTAGAGCCCTATGCTTCATTACAATTCAGATCTATGGAGAGTTGCCCCTACTCACAGAAGGAATTAATGTATTTTTGAGCAATAGAAACCCCATGGAACATTCCAGGCAAAGCAATAACATTTCCCTGGAGACAAGTGGGTATCGACTCTTCACCAGAAAAATTGCACTCTACACCTTTAAAGCAGTTAATATGGATACAAGAGGATTTTGCACTGATATCCATCCATCCATCCATCCATTTTTTTCTGCTTATCCGGGGCCGGGTCGCGGGGGCAGCAGTCTAAGCAGGGACTCCCAGACTTCTTTCACCCCAGACACGTCCTCCAGCTTCTCCAGGGGGACCTCGAGGCGTTCCCAGGCCAGCCGAGAGACATAGTCCCTCCAGCGTGTCCTTGGTCTTCCCTGGGGGCTCCTCCCAGTGGGACATGCCCGGAACACCTCCCAAGGGAGGCGTCCAGGAGGTATTCGGAACAGATGCCCGAGCCACCTCAACTGGCTTCTCTCAATGTGGAGGAGCAGCGGCTCTACTCCAAGCTCTTCCCGTGTGATTGAGCTCCTCACCCTATCTAAGGGAGCGCCCAGCCAGAGCTTATGACCATAGGTGAGAGTAGGAATGAAGATTGACCAGTAAATCGAGAGCTTTGCTTTTCGACTCAGCTCCCTCTTCACCACAACGGTCCGATACAGCGACCACATTACTGCAGACGCTGCACCGATCCGCCTGTCAATCTCTCTGTCCTCCCCTCACTTGTGAACAAGACCCCGAGATACTTGAACTCCTCCACTTGAGGCAGGGACTCTCCACCCACCCGGAGAGGGCAAGCCACCTTTTTCCGGTCGAGAACCATGGCCTCAAACTTGGAAGAGCTGATTCACATCCCAGCCACTTCACACTCGGCTGCAAACCATTCCAGTGCACATTGCAGGTCCTGGCCTGATGAAGCCAACAGGACAACATTATCTGAGAACTGCAGAGATGAGATCCTGTGGAACACCGCATGGGTTCAGATCAGGGAGGCCGTTCCTCCCAATCACCCCTCTTCAACTGTCACTGTCATTCCCCACATGGGCATTGAAGTCCCTCAGTAAAACAACGGAGTCCCCCGGTTGGACTGTCTGGTACCCCTCCCAGGGACTCCAAGAGGGCCAGGTACTCTGCACTGCTGTTCAGCCTGTAGGCCAACACCATAGTGAGAGACCTGTCCCCGACCTGTAGGCGCAGGGACGCAACCCTCCAATTCACCGGGTGAACTCCAACACATGGCGGCTGAGTTGTGGGGCAATGAGCAGGCCTACACCAGCCCGCTGCTACCGCCCGCGGTCAACACCAAAGAAATGGAGAGTCCAGCCCCTCTCCAGGAGTTGGGTTCCAGAGCCCAAACAGTGTGTGGAGGTGAGGCCGACTATATCTAGTCGGTAACGCTCAACCTCCCGCACAAGCTCAGGCTACTCCCCCCCCAGCGAGGTGACATTCCATGTCCCCAGAGCTAGTCTCCATGTCCGGAGATTCAGTCACCGAGGCCCCTGCCGTCGACTGCTGCCCAGATCTCTCTGCACCGGCCCCATATGGATCCTCCCGCGGGTGGTGAGCCCACGTGAGGACGGCCCCACGTTGCTCCTTTGGGCTGAGCCCAGTTGGGCCCCATGCGGGAAGGCCCAGTACCCACCCCAGGCCTGGCTCCAGGGTGGGGCCCCGGTAACACCGATCCGGGCGACGTCGCTGACCTCTGATTATAACTCATCATATGAGGTTTCTGAACCGCTCTTCGTCTGACCCATCCCCCAGGACCTGTTTGCCTTGGGTGACCCTACCAGGGGCATGGAGCCCCCGACAACATAGCTCCCGGGATTGTTCAGGCACTCAAACCCCTCCACCACGATAAGGTGGCAGTTCATATTACTAATATACCTGACCTTAGTAATATGAGGGAGCCCCAGCAAAAAGCAGAGCAGACACACAGCTAAAGCCAAAAGCTCTTCTTGCTTCACAAACTGGAGGATTTTGGTGCCAAATTCGTCCTTCAAGAAGGTTATGGCAACTTCAACGGTGGCAAACTAGGAATAAATACCAGAAAAAATTTTGAAAAAGACATTAGAGAATATGAAGCGATGTTCATAAACAGCACATACATTACATTATGGAACAAATCAACTTAATTTACTAATGTTTTTCAGAAAGAAAATGTACCTGACTGTCAAGACCCAGACACAGAAGCATAAAGAAGAAGAGAGGTGCCCAGAGCTGAAACACTGGCATGGTGGAAATGACTTCAGGATAAACCACAAAAACTAATCCAGGGCCTATATATTAAAAATGTTAACATTACACAGTTGATCATATCATTGTAAAAGATTTTTTTTTTCAAATGACAACGGCCGCATGAGTCAGTCAGATCCCATTTCATGTATAACAAAGGCTGGTTACGGGCTAAAGTCATTAAATAATGAATGAGTCTGGGTAAAGGTCTATTTACAAGTTTGCCAACAGCTTACGTGCTGATAGGACCCAACTTGCTTACAGTACAGTTCAATGAAAAAGGCTCTTGAGCATTAGTCATATCTATTCATGTTATGGTCCAAGCATGTAGTTTCTGTTATTGACCTTTTGTGAAAACCTGGTGGATTATTAAATCTGCCAAAGTATAAAATCTCACTAAAAAGGAAAACTACCAGTCAATATTCCACTGGTAATGTCACAATAATGTACACAACCTTACACAACCTTGAGTATTTTTCCACATCTGAACTCACCGTCTGTGGCAATGTTGTCCACTGGGAGGTTATGGATGTGTGCCATGTAGCCAATAGCAGAAAAGATCACAAAGCCTGCTAGGATACTTGTGAAGGAGTTTGTCACTGACACAATCAAAGCATCCCTGAGGAAACAATTTTTGAAATAACTTTCATAAAGTTGTTGCATGTTTTGTCATGTAATTTGTCACTAATATAATATTATGGAGAGAAACTGATTTGACACAGCAATTTCTCTGACATCTGAACTCTGTACTCTTACTACAGCAATTCTAAATATTTTTATTTATGTTCCACTTTCTGTTTGGATTATTTTGTAAAACAAATATGCTTTAAGGCATATCAGAACTACTGACAAACAGTTGAACATGGGAACTTATTGGAAGCATTCAAAACAACATTGCAAAAATTATTAAGCACTTGTGTTAGTTTACAGCAGAACTGGAGTCACATCACAAGAACAAATGTTTGTCCAAAGGCATTATTAGTGTTACCTGAGAATGTTGTTGTTAAACTTGTTGTAACTAGACATTGAAATCATTGAACCGAATGCGATTCCAATAGAGTTAAACACTTGGGCAGCAGCATTTACCCAAACCTATGAAAGAGGAAAAAATATTGCAATGTCAATTTGGATTTTTAAATATGATGGTTTTAAATCAAAGATTTTAATTCACATATGCTACTGGATACTTGTAACAATTCAATGTCATTGTTATTTATTTTTACAATGAGTTAATCTGTTGCTTTATTTCTCATATAACTTAAATTGCATGGATTCAAATGGAAGGTTATAGTCCTGAGCTGCTATGACTATGCACACTGCTACTATGGGCTAACCAGAGACAGAGAGAGCATGCAAACACCACACTGAAATGCCTCCTCTGGTTTTAGAAATGAACCCTGGGCCATCGACTGCTAACCACTCAGCCATGGTGTCAATTAACCTCACCTTAATTTGAAACAGTTTACTCCACACTGGGGTCACAAAGAAAAGAATGCCATTGACTGCCCCTGGAAGCTGCACATTATTGATGAGCAAGGCAAACAGGATGAAATATGGGAAAATAGCTGTGAAATACACAACCTGAGAGACAAAATATATAAAAGAAATAACTATTACAAAATTATAGATATTGACTCAAGGCAGAAATGCTACCAAAAATAAGCAATATTTAAATTTTGGCGAAATATTAAGTCAATAATGTGTGAAGTCTTGATCTATATATAATAATTTATGTACAATGGCATCTATCTAACCTTGCCAGTGGATTTAACTCCTTTGAATATGCACATATAGACAACGACCCAGGCAGTAACTAGACAGCCAAACAGCTCCCAGCGAAGCCCACCAGAATCTTCTATGCCCTCTGTTTTTTCAAGAAGTTTATAACTAAAATGACAAACAGAATATGCAATTTTATTAACATAAATCAAATGCTATGTCTGTCTGTGGTCATAATGTTATGGTTGACCAGTGTCATGAAAACAAAATAGACTCACTCAAAAAACTGCTGACTGGCAGATTGCAGGTGGGTTGCATTGCCAGTGAAACCACTGGAGCAGTTTTGGACTACATTCCAAGTTTCATTGCATGATTCCCATGGTAAAGTTGATCCAAATGAGTTGAACAGGTAATATATTGCCCAACTCATGAGCACATTGTAGTAGGTGGAAAATACAAAGGAGATGACAACAGTGGCCAGACCAACACCTGCCAAAAACATAAGATGTGAGACACAAAAGAGGACAGAGGGCTCTGGAATGAAGACAGATACATCAGTGTCAGTCATGCAGGTTTGGAAGTTATTCACTTTTACACACAATAGAAGGCTACTACTCCTGTGCGAAAACACAAAAGATACAAACTATTCCTCCTCCTCCACCTCACTACAGGGGCCATTTCTCAGTAGACTCTGTACTCATGTACTCCCTGGTATTGATGTGTGGGCTCAGGCTCAGAAAAAGGACTTCACAGTAAGTACTCCAATAAGTGACACATTTAGGCCTATTAATCTTATGATGGTAATAATAATATTTAAACAAAAATTAATAGGCTAAGTACAAATTAAAACAACTAAATACGCGATGCTGACATATAGCCTAACCTGTCGATGAAAACATCCAGCTTTATGTTATTTAAGGTAGGCCTACTCATTCAGATTGAGACACTTAAGTTTCTGTTGTACTGAAAAGCCTGTCCCTCATATTTCACAGAATTGGTTAATTAACTGTAAGGAAATTAAAGTATTGAAGCAAAGTTTATTCTACACATCTGGTAAAAAAACAAACAAAACAACAAAGCCTACATAGCTTAATAGGCTATATGAAAAATGCGTCGCGTTGAGGAAAATAAACCATTAGATGATTAAGAATACTGATTTCCATGCGCGCAGTATCTATCAGCTTGACCGCACTCTGCTCGCTCCGTGCGCACGGGCGGCTGTGTGCGGAGGAGACAGCCGCGGGCGAGGGTGGCGGTGATGGGCGGTAGGTGCGCTTTGTGACGTGCACTGTGGTAAATATACTGAGCCGTGTACGGACAAGTCCCCTCCGATGCATCCCCGGTAAAACGGGCAGAGCAAGTTCATAATGGAACAGGATTTGTGTCTGCACAAGTAGTGGATTGAGAGCACAGATGGGCACATTATCTTCATAAATGATTTGGCCTTGTTGCACCTGTGCACAGTCCGAGTCAGGTTTCAGCCACAGGTGTGACTCTGGTCCAGTTTTGCAGGTGTCATTCTTCAGACCAGTGCAGCGATACGTTTGACAGCGTCTTAAATCATTAACATGGTTCATTAAAGCAGCACTGCGTAATATTCTTGGTGGCGGGCACATCGCTAGCCTGACTCCAGGGAGATGAGACAAAGGTTGTCTCACCGCGGAGACAAGCAGCAACCTGCCATCCACCAAGTTGAGTTACAAATCAGATCTGTAGAGAGGCAGGCCCACTCCCATTAAGGATACAGGTTTCTAAGGCATTTTATGGCAATAATAACACCCATAATAATAAAGCCTTCTATTAATTAATTAATTAATTTATTTATTTATTTATTTATTGTTTGAAGTATACAGTGGCTTTAATGATTTGCATTTATGTTACAGTGACCTCTCTCTCTCTCTCTCTCTCTTTAATTTTCTTTAACCCATTCTGGCCTTCAGTAGTGTATGAGTCTGCACTAGTAGATGAGCTGTTATGTTTTACACAATTGTTTGGTCTGGAGGGAACCCTACATAGCAACGGCATAGCATACAGTGCAACAAAGCAGAAATACTCCTTTGACTGTCACTTAAAGATGTTTTTGTAACATACACACAGATTATATATTTTCTTCTGCATAAAAGATATACTACAACCTTATGCACCCCTTTGAAAGTCATGTGCAGCCTCAGTCAGTTTAGTCTGGACCTGCCATGTTCTAGAATGACAATGATCCAAAGTAGTGAGGGTCAACATATATATATAAAAAAAATCACTCTAAAGCTCTATAAAACACTTCCAGGTGTTTTTTCATTTCTTTTACAGGGATAAAAACTGAAACTCAGTGTGCTTCTTCCAAGCTAATAACATTTAATTGAAACATGACAACATGCAGTTAATTAATGACAGATTAACAGTGATTTATATGGCTGCTGCTCTTTATGCAATAAATCAGTCAGAAAACAGAGGAAAACTACCTGCTTTTGGCCCTTGTTTAGCACAGAGCATAAACCAGGAAGAAATGAGCGAGAAATCAATGGGAGGTTGTTTTGACCGGGTAGATAGTCTCTGTCTTTAAAGAAATAAGAAGAACTTTGTAGAGAATAATTACATTAGGAAAGAAAGATAGCATTTGCACATCCCCAGAATTAATAGTTTTCATTTGATGGCTGGGGTCTTGATTCAATTTGTGAATGAGTACAGTCAGAAATCAAATGTTTGCTCTGCAACAAAAATATAAAAAATCAGCAGATAATTGTTAACTGGTAATTGTTAATGAGGATGCTTACTGTTACTCAACTAAATATATGAATGTGTGCTTTACAAGTCCCCGACCATCAGCATGTGCAAGAAGTTATTTTGAAATTGCTTAATACATTCATCAATACTACTATTTAATTTGTGAGTCGTGTTAAAGAAAAAAAAAAAAAAACAATCATCAAAGGAAAACATAATCATAATTTAGTGGAGCTTCAAGGGGCTAGCCTAGCATGGCACATGGCCTTTTCCATTGTAATCTAAACAAAGAAATTCAGTCTGCTTCTGCTTCTGCTGCAGGTTTGATTTGCTCAGATGCATATTTAGAGGTTTTTGCAACGCAGCAAATCCAGGTATTATTTTCAATTTTCAGTTTGTATTTTGCTTATAATTTTCTGTAATTCCTGGAATTAGTTACTCTCCACCTGTTTACATTACATGTAGATAAAATCATTGGGCATAATTCCTTTGGAATACAATGAAAAAGCTGTTAATTTTCAATTAACTGTATTTAGGAAATAAATTACATAAATTGTGAGTGAGAAAAGAGTGAGATTATAAATTGGTAACACATACCAAACTATCTAAAATGCTGATTATGGACTTGGAACACCAATTTTGAAATACAAGTATAAAGCCGTGTATATCCTGTACAGGACATTTGGTCAAAACTAGCTGCAAATCCTCATGCAACTTACAACAGTTTTTAACTAAATCTTTTTTTTAAAAAGAGGAATACTTTAATAGTCAAATATTATTCATAATCAATGTCTCACATAAAAGCACGCATACATATTAGTCACTTACCTTTTAATATAGGGCATATTTTGGCAAAAGCATGCACAGGTCCTAAACAGGTGTATTGCCCAATTGTGAATTCCATAAAGAGCAGAGGAATGCCACACAGGAATACCATTGTTATGTAAGGAATCATGAAGGCACCTGGAGCAATACAAAACAAATAAATAAAATTGAAATAATAACAGGACATGTAGAATAAGCACAACAGTTGACACTGTGATTAAAGAGGGGGTATTTCACTTCTATGGGGTATTAGCTGTTATAACATAACATTTAGATCACCGTGTTACCTTTTATTGTTTTAAATACTTGCCAAAAGTATAAATCTCACTTTCGTTTTTGAGTCTCTCTTATTGTTGTGTATTTTATAACGTTCCTCTTTAAGGAATAACCTTTAATATAGGTTGTTTTGATTTAATGGGTTTATTATATATGCCTATTAGCCAATAGCTTATGGACTAAAATAACAAAATAATATATGATGTAATATGGGCTATTTTCCTTTATGATTGACACTATGTTGCATTTAAAACGCCCCCCAAGACTTCTTACCTCCTCCACTGCTGTAGCACAAGTAAGGAAACCTCCAGACATTTCCAAGTCCCACCGCGTACCCGACCGAGGCCAGGATGAACTCCAGGCGCCGGCCCCATGTGGGTCTCTGTTCCTTGGTGTTGATCCGGAGCTCGTCCACATCTTTGCCATTCGTGGGTACCAGGGCATAATCCCTTTCACTAGAGCCCACTTCAGCATCCATTGTTAATTATCAGGCCTATATATATATATATACACAGTCGAGTAAAAGACAGATCAATGCAAATTCATTACATCATATATATCCCCTAACACTTCCTGAATTGTTTTCAGTTAGGCAGGCTCCTCTACAAAGACATATAGCGGGAGAAGGCTACGTAGCGCACGTGAGGAGCGCACACCTAAGGATGGGATTTGGTTTGATACCGGCTTCTGTCTCTAAAGTCCGCCCCATGAAATCCGCTGCTATTCTTTGCTGTCGCCGGCCCCGACCACTGAAGCACAGCCGTCTGTGGAGCGCAAGGTTGGGGCCCTTCAAAATAAAAGCTCACTATTAAACATCTGCTTTTTAGTACTCCGACCTCTCATTTGAAATATAGTTTACTCAATCCTCTTATCAGTTTTCTTCTATATTTAATTCGAATTATTAATTTGGTAGGCTATCTTCCTCCAGTGGTCCCCTATAGCATATCATCTATTTTTACACACCATACTCATGTTTTACAAGCTGGTCATATCTATAATTGTTCACTTAACTCCACATGATATGACTATTCATGGGTTTCAGCTTCCTGCTATATATGGTGCCATTTTGAGATAAATTGTTTAGATTTGAATTGTTTATTGCTATGGCAATGGTCCTAACCTAAAGGTTAAATCTGTATGTGATTTATATCTAAGCCTAGCCCTGTGTATACTGCTCAAAGAAATTAAAGGAACACTTTGAAAACACATCAGATCTCAGTGTGACAAAAAATTATACTGGATATGCCGTGCATATTTTTTGGCTGGTTTTCCTCTAATGCTGACTTTGGCTAGAGTGATTATCACTACTGGGAGTACAGAAGTTGCACAAATTGTCCAGTTTCTCCAGGATGGCACATCCACATGTGCTATAGTAAAGAGATTTAATGTGTCTAACAGCACAATCTCCAGAACATGGAGGAGACAGGCAGTTACTCTAGGAAAGCTGGACAGGAGAAGGAGAACCCATCAGCAGGACCCATATCTGTTCCTTTGCTCAACAATGAACAGGTTGTGCACTGCCCTTGCCCTACAGAATGATCTCCAGCACTGGTGTGTATGTCTCTGCCTAAACTAAGTCAGAAACAGACTTCATGAGGGTGACTTAAGGGCGTCCTACCTGAGTTTTGGTAACCCTACCATCCCTCTCCTACCTGAAAAGCTAGTGTCTTATAAGGAAGAATATAATAATGCTTTGGTTAATAAAGATGTTATGGAACAGTAATAATTATAAAATACTTAATTCAAGCAATTTAGATGTCACCTTCATTAAAACTGATAAAATGTATTCTGCCCCACTTTTCTAAAACAAATATATATATATATATATATATATATATATATATATATATATATATATATATATATATATATATATATATATATATATATATATATATATATATATATATATATATATATATATATATATGTTGCTTATTAGATTCTGAGATGAAGACAAGAGACTTGACCCACCTTGCCTGTGTAGTGTTGTGTGTGTGAGTGATGCTTAAATGATAAGTTAGTGACATCGCCTCCGTCTACTAAGCGCAATAATGTTTCTGTCAAGATTTTCACCTATATGTAACACTCTACGCAGCCACTAGATGGCGACACCATCGTGCGCACTGGCCCGGGCTCTCGGCTCCAGGTGCGGGCTGCAGCGGGAGTCCTTCCGCTCTCCGTTCAGACCAGCAGGAATGTGGAGACGGCATTACGTCAGTTGTCCTGCCAGCGGCAAGAAAGCAGCCTCGGCCAGGCGCAGATAGATTATTGTTTTCAGTGGAGACTTAACCAGGTTCGTGATTTCCTTCCCGTAGCCTGTCCGAAGTTTGTTTTGTCTTGAGCGACTCGAGACGAGATAGCGCCGTGCACAACACTGAAGCCTTGATTTAGTATGGAAAATCATCGTACGTCTAATTAACGACGAGTCTCTCGCAGAGTAGATGGAGGAAGCAGAAGGTAAAAAGCACTCTTGGTTGTAACTTAAACCTGTTTGTGTTTAGTTACGTTCGTGTCTGATTGATTTAGGTACTGATGGCTGTTACTGCGCTGGCTGTGGGGAGAAAATCCAGGACTCTTTTCACATGAAAGTACTTCAAGATACCTGGCACAACGCCTGCTTTCAGTAAGACTTCAACATTAAGATTTTTTAAACACGCCTGTATTTGGCTTCATCCGAGTAGGCTATATGTGAATAGCGTTTCCAAAGAAGAAAGCCCTGGAAGGAGTAGGAGTTGCTATGAAATTGTTACTATTGTTTGTTAGTCAACATGTTGCCCTTGACTGCACAATGTTCCCTATTTGTAACTCCCCCAGAAGCGTCTGTTTTAAACGTGCCTGAACATATTTGCTTTTGACTGTTCACAATTGTTTCATTGCTTTGTTGAAAAAAACAATAACAATGTACATTTCAGTGTAAAGTTTGACAGCCACCTCATAGAGTGCTCAGTGAAAATGGTCATTTTCTGAAGGACTTTGCCCCTGCCTTGCTTAATGATTGCATTAGACATGATGTGCATTATGTTTTTCAATCCAATAGGCAGAAATTTCTTGTGGTCCAGAGAGCCTGCTCTATATAAACTGTACAGACAGTGTCTAATGACCTAAAAAATAGTCAAAGGATCCCAGTGTAGAATAGTGCATTAATGCGCATTAGTAGATCATTTTGGTTACTATGATGATGTTTGGCTAATAGCATAAAAAATGCACTGTGTAACTTTTTCAGGTTAGGAGTCCACCACCTGCTAGAGATATTGTTCATTTAAAGATGTTTTCACTGCCAAAAATACCTCAAAAACATTAATTCTTAATGTGAGCGGTAGCCTCTCCACAGATCTCACCTAACTTGGCCTGGTGGTGTCACTCACTTTTCCATGGAGATACACAAGTTCCATACAATTCTGTTGAAAAAACAAATACAATGTACGTTTTAAAGACTGGCATTGGTCTTAATCCTTCTCCAGATTCTTTGGGCATGAGGTGGTCTACTACCTGCCACGATAAGTAGCAGAAAATGAATGAATAACTTCACTACACTGGGGCATGCAGAGCAGTCAGAGTTTTAAGAGTGAACTTGGTGTGCATTGACAGCCCATGCCAAACAGTGTCCTTACTTAACCTGTTAACACTACTACAATTACTTTAGTGGAAAAGTTCCTAACTCAGCAGCACTATTCCAAAATGAGTTCCTCCTGTGTGTACTCCCATGCATTTCTGACATGCAGCACTGTAGCAGCATCCACTTTAGACCTCACTGTAATGTAAAATATTACATAAATTTTATATGATTTTTTACAATGCTCCAAAGGAAACGAGGGGGGAAAAATTCAGTAGTAGTATCAATTGTAAAACAGAGATTTTTGAGACTAGGCTTAAAAAAGGCAATGTTGTCAGCAATGTGAATTGCTTTGCTTTTCTCTGTAGTAAAATTAATTATATTTCGCACAGTCAGTCTCACTAATGCTATGTCTGAAGAAGGAAACGACTAAACCAAAATAAATTGGGACCCCCCCTGTAGATCCTATTGTCCATTGTCCACATGTTGCCACTCTCGTGCCCTACTACTTGGGCTAGCATTCCTGTTTTGTGATGTTGTGCATGTTCCAGTAAACCTGGCAATGCTCTGGGGCCATAGGTAACACCAGAATCCATTACATTCCTAGACTGCAAATCAGAGGTGTGTGCCCGCTGTCCCAGACACTGGCTGCCTAATGCTCAACACCATAATATGGATTTTCTGTACTTTTGTAGAGACCTTGTAGACTTTCATTTTAAACATAGATTCAAAATTCCATTAAAAAAAATACAAGTTATTATATTGTACTGGTAAAGAGAATAATCACATGGGAAATTAATATGCTTATTCTGCTTAACAAATAGGAAAAGAAATTTTGTTCCTTTCATTTATGTTTACAATGTACAGGCCTATATGTTAATGTGTGTCCCTTGGTCTGAGCTCAATTGTTATTAATTGTCTAATGCAAAATATTCTTATATTATTGAACAAATCTTTGCTAATTGTGTTATATTTTGTACTGGTCCTGCCTATTTCTTTAACAATGACATAAGCTTTCATTACATATGGGATATATGGGCCCATGAAAGGTCAAATGCTTAAAGGCCATATTTTTTTTTTCACAACAACAGTGATTAAACAACTGCATGAATGTCAGCTTGAGGAAATGACGAATGTGTAGTCTTGGCATTGTATTGTCTATTGTGTTAGATTAAGTACACCACCACTTAATGTACGTGTCAATTTTAATGAGGAGGAAGTAAAGTGTTTTTGAAACCCCTATTAAATCACATTGATATTGAATGCCCATTGTCTGTTAATGGACAGTAATTGTACTTTATCAGTAGGTTTCTGTTGATAAGTAGGGTGGTTGGTGGACATTGTTTAGTTTTCTCCACCTGGATACCGGCAGGTATTACTGTACATGCCTGATGAGATTCTGCATTTTGTGCTCCTTGTCTAGATAATGTTTTATCAGAAGAGATGACAGTTGTTTGGTATCCACTGTGCAATATTGATACAGAGATAAGGATTGTATGCCTTGACCAGTAATACTGTGACTAACAAGTAAGATTTGCCCTTGTGCTTGAAATCGTCCAAGCAGATTGCACTTATCATTGCCTGAGTTTAGTTATTAGAGCCACAGATTTCATGGAATATTAACATTGCTTTGCTCTTTACTGACTTTAAATTTGTATATTTCATTTGAACTATTTGTATAGTTCCTCCACATGATAATTACAGACCTATATCTATGTGACACACCAGACTGGAGCCAATATTACTCTCACCTCGTGCTCATTCTCAATATGTGATGCCTTTTATCTGCAATGAACAGTTTGTTATGTTTCCTCACCGTATTTGTCATACTAATGTAATCAGAGATGTCTGGATGCTGAAAACCAACTGCAGCGCCCACAAGACTGTATATCTTTACAATAGGTACACAGTGTTTCCTTAACAGACTACTAAACTATACTGTATTATATATCCACAAAGAGAACCCTTTGCCTCAGTGTAATCTTAGCTTTACCTGCAGGGCATAAAGCAACTACCTGAATATTACATGCTATACTTGACTCTACTAACCTAACCTTTGAGACGCTTAATCATTTTGATTGACTTACTGTTGTCTAACCTGCCGTCAGCCATTTGCATTACCAGTGCAGCTTGTTCAAAGAACGCCCATAGCCGGCAGGTCACTCCCAGTATCAAGTCACTCCTGTCGTGTGCGTGTTTAACATTTTGTCTCACAGTGGTGCCAAAACAACATCAGAATGTATAGTGTAGAAAGCTTTACTTTACTTCTTTGCTGTAGATGACTTATTTTAATTGGTACAATCCTGGAAATGCATTTTTCATTGTATTTACCTGGTTTTATAACGCAACTGCAAATTTAAAAATAATTAGTAATTGGCTAAAATTTCTTTTGAGGGTCATCTCCTCTCTTTATTGTGCACCCGAGCCAGGAGTAACACATCAAACAAACAATAAACAAAACAGCTGTATTTCTTGAGGTGGCCAATATATTGAAACATTGATAATATTGTGAATTTTGTCTGGGAGATATGCTAAATTTTAATAGTGGCTATGTCGTTTTTAATTAAAAAAAAATCACTGCAAAACAGCTTATTGAAAATGAAAATGTAACAAACATGTTGTAATTCTTCAGTGTTGGTCATAAAGTGTTACCTTTGTCTTCAATTTACAGTTGTTTCACATTTGTCTGTTGCTTATTTTTAATTTTAATTGTGTTTAAAACTAAAGACACAGCACATTGCCAAGATATTAGTTTTGTCAATTTTGCCAAACACACGTTTCTGTGTGTTTCTAATGTTACATATATGTACTCCTTCCACTCATATTTACTGTCCTTTTTCACCTTGTGGCAAAGAAAAGCACAAGTTGAATACTTGTGGAGAATTTGCCCTGAAGGAAAGTCATATCCTAAGTTTTATCACGACTTGATGTTCACTTTGAGAATAATGGTTTCATCTTATACTTACTACCTTTTGCTGTAATAATTTCTTTCTGACTTTCATCTTGAAAGACAATGCTTCTATAATTGTACTTTTTCAGTTTGTACCTCATATTACATGTTTATTTATTTATATATAGATATTTTAAACCATTTGTTCTCAGATTCGTATTATTCAGTATATTTGTGGTATTTATAGCTGACACCCCACCCTCATTTTAACTTTTGCAGATGCTCTGTGTGCTGTGACCACCTGACAAACTGGTACTATGAGAAAGATGGGAAGCTGTACTGTAGGAAGCATTACTGGGAGAAATTTGGAGAGCTGTGTCATGGCTGCTCACTGCTTATGACTGGTCCTGCCATGGTGAGTAGTACTACATATTACACATATTAATTCAGTTTTTAGTAGTTATTTACCGGTATGCCATGTCACCACATCACAATTACTGAATAGATTAAAAGAACAAAAAGGATCAAACACATCTAAGGTATCACTGCAGTAGAGATGGTCCAATTTTTTTTCAATATTTATTGTTTGTCTTGCTTCTGTGGCTGATACTTGGCTGTATTGTGTCAATATTATATTTTTTAAATTCATGGCAAGTCTCACAAATTGAAACAAAGTTATAGTTAAATTCACAAATTAACTTTACCTATTTATAAAAGTTACACAAAATGTATTTTTTAATATAATTTGTATAGCAATCATATACACATACTGTTACTCCTTTAGCTTAACTGCTTTTATCCATTAGCAACAGGAAAAATGGTATAATAACATCTTGACATATTGGAAAAATCTTACCTATACATACCCATCCATACATTGTTGTGAATCAGTTACAAACATTGCTTCAGTGATTCCACACAAGATAAATAATGATGCTGTTTGCACTATTGTGCTATATGAACAGATGCCAAACTGTCAGTAAGCCTGAAATTTATTACATCCAGTCCACATTGTGACATGCAGTTACACGTTTAGGTTTGATGACGACAGCACTCCTGGTCACACAGCCCAAGATCGTTTGTCTGAACTTGTTCGACAGGGAGCCAAAGAACATTTTTAGTTGTTTTTGCCACTGAGCAACAGATATAATCGAGTCTCCTATTTAGTATTGGCATCTTGCTCCATGGAGCAGTTGCCAAGTGTTTTTTGGCACAGCTTAATTAGAACTGCAGTCTTGTGGTGAAAGAGGATAATGTGGTGTATCAGCAGAGGGGAGACATTCAAGTCCAGACATTGTCTTTGCCCATTTTTAGTCTGTTATCTGTAAATTCATTGGAGAACAGTAACCTGAAAGACTGCTGGGATTGGAAGTGCTATTTCTGGGGCTCCTGACGAATGTTGTTTTGATCTGGTTTCATGAACTAGACTTCCTGCCCTTCTCCAGGAAAAGTACTATCCTAGCCCTTGTGTATATGTCAGCAGTACTATCAAGCCCGAGGCTTTACAGATGTGATGTCACAGACTCAACTCTGAAGTGTCACTGTGACTTGGCTGGCATTAGCTTTTTTGTGTAAATCACTGAGTCGTTTGGCACAAAGTAACACAACATGGGGAATGACATCACAACCACTGTGTCTTCATTCATTTATCTCTCGTCTTCTAGTCTTCTAGTCTTCGTCTGTTCACCCATTATGTCCTTACCATGAAGATCCTAATGTGTTGTCACAATATGAACATTTCAGGTGTGATGTTGATACTAAGGAAAAGTCTTGATACACATTTTTATTGTACCAAGATGAAAACACTTTTTTTAGACAGCTTGTAGGTTTTTTTGTAAAAGGCACTTGTACACTTCAAAGACCTTTCCAATTGGCCTAGTTGTCACATAAACGCACTTCAGCATTCAGTAAAGTATGTTGATTGAATTTGAATGGAAAGTTGTTGTTTGGGTGTGTGATAGAAGTTGAGCGTGTTCAGAACAGTGTGAACCTCCGGGAAAGGCTGGGACTTGCGGCGAGGACTGATGAGGTCATGCAGATTCCAGACACAGTGAGAGAAATGCAGGTGTTAGTGTTGGTATTGGGGCTGTGTCACTTAGAGGAGGGACCACAGTCTCACGCAGTGTTACTCTACCCTCATTTGAGCAGTGTGTCAGAACAGGACCACCACTTTCTACACTCCCTGAGCTCCATGCGGGTCATTTGTTTTTCAGGTAGCGGGAGAACACAAATATCACCCCGAGTGCTTCGTATGCCTCAGCTGCAAAGTGATCATTGAAGACAGGGACACCTATGCGTTAGTGGAGAGATCCAAACTCTACTGGTAAGTCAGGAATTCACCTCTGTTTAAGCGGTTGTGTTGAGTATCTATTGAACCTGCAAAGTAGGTTTGCGCAATATAATAAAGCAGGAAATCATGGCTAAATCCAGCATTTTTACTAGTTGTTTGGTTAGTTGCAATTCTTTCTTTACTACTGGCTTCAACTGCATAATAATTATTCTATGCCAGTTGTAAAGCATTTTTTACAGTATAGTTACAATTGCAATAAAAGTGATATCTCTAAAGCTGAACCATGTTTTGAAATGCATGGAACTCTTGATTTTGAGCCCCTATCCCAGGCTCAAATGCCAATGTTTCTGGATGGGTTTAAAATGTGCATGTACTTTTCTATACAAATTGTGAATCTAATCGCATTTACAGTAGTTGTCAGGAAAATATTTTTTTGTTTTTGTTTGTTTTAAACTTGTGCAGCACTAATTTACATATATATGTATTTATCCTGAATAAAAAAGTTTGCATGTGCATCTGTGTATACTTGTTGAATGCAGTTACACCATCATGTTTTCATTTTGTTAATAATTGCAAAGATAAATATATTTTGCTCCCTCTTCATGCCATAACACGCTGTGGTGCTTCTTACAGTGGAAAGTGTTACAAAGAGGTTATCCTAACTCCAATGTTGGAAAAGCGTTCACATGACTGCATCCTAGATGCACTGCCCCACACAGTGACTCTTATCTCCATGCCTTCTGCCGCCAATGGGAAAAGGGGTTTCTCTGTATCTGTGCAGCGTGACGTGAGTGGAGCCGCTAGTGTTCAAGTCAAAGAGTAAGTGGCACCTGCCCAGGGTGACATCAATGTATGTGAGAATTATATGTGCAAGTCTTTACATAAGGCTGATTACAAGCTACTCTAATAGCATACTTTTTGTACATTAGTGATATTACAATTTTTTCCATAATAATACACTAAGACAGTAAGGACACAGAATACAAAAAGTACATCCAGTATGATATGGAATATTTAAGATTTTTCACATGAAACTCATTGAACTAAATTATTTTTGATCAGTCTGACACTGCATTGTTTATATATTTATAGTTTTAGTATATTTTGTTATTATTAGCTAAAAAACAAACACAACCTAGGATTAGAATTAGAAATGAGACTTTATTTAGAGAAAAAACACATTTTTATTAAATAATGTGCAGTCTTATACAAATGTGCGTATGCAATCAACATCCTCCCATTTGTGTCTTTAACCAGGGTTCGGGGTATGCTTATTAGCCCAGAGGTGAGGAATGCCATCCATGTTGGAGACAGGATCCTTGAAATCAATGGACTCCCAGTGGGAACCCTTATGGAGGAGGAGGTATTGGAATATTAACAGTTAATTAATTGTGGGTGACTTTCATTCAGTGCAGTATTTAAAAATAAACGCACATGTAATTTTTTACATTCCTCTCATTGTGCTATCTTCATTTAGGTTTGGTTGGTATGTAGTACAGTTTGGTGCCACCTACATGTTTATTCTCACAACCACACCCTTACCTAATTACCTCTCACCATCAATCTACAGCAATAAATGGAAATATTTGAAGCATTCATGTCTGAATTGAATGAAAACTGTTCTTTTTAAAAAATATAACTCATTGTTGTAGGGGTGTTGAAGTTGCATAACTCTTGGCTAGAGTCTCAGTTTCTTATCGTTTGGCCCAGGTGGATGACCTCATACACTGCACCAGTCACACACTGCAGTTGCTGATTGAGTATGATCCTGTTCGACAGCGCTTGGACCGCCTCAGACTCGGCTCCCCACAAAGTCGCCTGGGGGTCCCGGCCACATCCCGAATGCGCCTGTCCTCTCCTTCAGGGGCGGTCCTGGAGAGAACTGATGTAATGGATGATGGGACACTGAAGAGGAGATCTTTGAGGTACTATTCAAAAACAAATATAGTATATTAGCATTATATTTGACTTAATGTGCATGAGCTCTTGTCCTTATCCACAGACGGAGCAACAGCACATGCAAATCTCCAGGACCAAACTCGCCTAAAGACTTGTCTTTTATTTCACGTGACATTGGCCGCTCTGAGTCCTTAAGATCTCCCAGTAGCTGCTCTCATCGCATCTTTAGACCATGTGACCTCATTCATGGTGAAGTCTTAGGAAAAGGCTTTTTTGGACAAGCCATCAAGGTTAGACATTAGTTAAATATATAGCCCCAGCATCTCTTGTATATACCAACACTAATATTATTTGTCTTGTCAGGTAACACATAAAGCAACTGGAGAAGTGATGGTGATGAAGGAGTTACTCCGGTGTGATGAGGAAACACAGAAAACATTCCTTAAAGAGGTGAGCTGAAAACAGACAGCAGAAAGCAGGGATTCATTGCATTCACAATTGGAAACTTAAGGCCTCATCTATTTTTGGATCCCATTAAAATACTTGGTCTTTCTGAAATGAAAGTCTGTAATCTTTTTATAATTTCCTGATTTTGTAGGTCAAAGTAATGCGGAGTCTGGATCACCCACATGTTTTAAGATTTATTGGTGTCCTGTATAAAGATAAAAGGCTGAATTTAATAACAGAGTTTATCGAAGGAGGAACTCTGAAGGATTTCATCAGAGATACGGTGAGTTTGGTTGCTTCTCTGCATCATTGGTCACAGTGGGACAAATGTTAGTGGACAGTGGTCAGTTTAAGCTGTCACGAAGCAGGGGGCCTGACCTGAAATAAACCTAAAGACACATGGCTGGATTTTACAATGAGTCTGTGTCAGCTGGTCACAGGCATAAAGTGGAAAGAGAAAAGCTTTGTAAAGTGTTTCCAGGTGAAACCTTAAGAGTTGCACGCTCTTTTTTTTTCCACAGCCTGCTTCAACACTCAAAGACCATATGTGCAGCATTTCTTATTCAAATTATTTTAGGGAACATTTTGAGAGATTATGATTTTAATCAACTTCCAAGATTTGTAGTGATAAAAATTAAATGTCCATTTAATTGAAAAACAATTTTGTTCCATCAGGATCCATTTCCATGGGAGCAAAGAGTTAGCTTTGCAAAGAGCATTGCATCTGGAATGGTGAGTTGAAAACTCACCTGTAAAACAGATCATTTGTTTAATTTGTACTTATTACATGGTCCATTATTTATTTCAGGCTTACTTGCATTCTATGAATATCATACATAGAGACCTCAACTCTCACAACTGCCTAGTCAAACTGGTAGGAGACACATTCTAGTATTTTGACTTACTTGTATTTATGCAGATTAATTAACTTTATCTTTTTTCCAGGATAACACAGTGGTAGTTGCTGACTTTGGACTCTCTCGTCTTGTTGTGGAGGAAAAGGTCAAACCTCCACCTGAGAAATCATCCAACAAGAAAAGAGTGTTTCGACGCATTGACAGAAAGAAGAGATACACAGTGGTGGGAAACCCTTATTGGATGGCTCCAGAGATGCTCAATGGTGGGCTCCTTAACAGACTTGTTGCATACTTGTGTGAAAAGTTACCCTACAAGTGTAAAAAAAAATGTATTGACACTTTCGTGTGTTTTAGGTAAACGCTATGATGAAAAGGTGGACATTTTCTCTTATGGAATTGTTCTTTCTGAGGTTAGCTGTTTTGTAGTTATTGTTTCTTATTTGACCTCTCCACAATTCAAATCTCAATGAAAAGTTAAAACCAGAGACCAGAGATTAATTTAACATTGTCCTGCCAAATAGTGAACATCTTTTGTTTGTTTTTTCACAGATTATTGGCAGAGTCTATGCAGACCCTGAGTGTCTCCCCAGGACTATGGACTTTGGCCTCAATGTTGTAAAGTTTGCTGAAAAGTTTCTTCCTGATGACTGTCCTCCATCTTTCTTTCCACTGGCTGTGGCCTGCTGTGACCTCACCCCAGACAGCAGGTGAGCATATGCATGCTCAGTTACTGTTCCTACTTAATGTTACTATGTGTAATAATAGGGAGTCCCCTCTGTTTTTTATGCAGCTGCAACAAATCAGTGGTCCAGGATATTAAAGTTGTATATTGTCAAAGGCCATGCTAATTTTTTTACTTTTGTGACTGTGATATTTTCAATAGTGTTACATTCTTATGAAGCATTCTTGTTTTCTTATCATTCTTGTCAGTTTACTTATCTCTCTCTGTTATTCCCTAGACCACCTTTTCAGAAGTTGGAGGACTGGTTTGAAGCTCTCTCTCTAAACCTGGAGCTTGGGATCCCCCTGCCTGCTGAACTCGAAGAACTGCAGCATAGTCTCAGTCCACTGCTTTGTCCTGAAGACAGCTCTTCAAGTACAAGTCTGCCCATAACACCCACAACAGCATGTCCTGACTCCACAGATTCTATGGCAGACAGCTGCACTTAGTGACACTCTTCTTGTGTAGCCTCTGACCTTCTGAACCTTTGCTCTATCGTGTGCTGGAGAAAAGACTTGAGCCATTAAAAAAAAAAACTGGATAACCCTGAAAATGCTGGACCAATGTACTCTGACAGTGCCTCTGTACTGCAGTGGAAACTAGAGGTGACTGTATGGGCAGCACACATTTCTAGTAGTGTTAGATTTGGTTTGTTTTACCTCGGATTCATGTATTGATGTTTACAGATTATTAACCACTTGTTGTGCTCCTTGCTCTATTCAAAGATGTGTCTTAGTTGTATGAGGCCTTTGTTGAGGTTTGATAAGTCCCCATGTGACTGTAGTTTCT